AAAAAAAAAAAAAAAAAAAAAAAAAACCCACAACACTCCAGCCGAATGGCAGGCCTCAACCTACCGACTGTTTGGAAGGTCGTAGGGATCCGCCTTTCTACAATCACCCCTGGTGCCGATTTCCAAACACCAGACGCAATTATATTGCCCCAGCGCATATCCAAGCGTCGCCAGGATCTTCTGCACTGAATGCCTCAATGGTAGCCGAAGCCCATGCTTGAAAACATCAGTGAAAAAGACAACTCCTTTGTCATTATCACTCAACGACTCCAGCGGCTCTGGGATTCGCATCACTACCGATTCCGGGATATTATACTCTGCCCGAATCTTGGCCAGCTCAGCCTCGGTCAGTGTGTTCGGCTTTAAATGATCTACTCCAAACACCAATTCCTTCGGCTTCGCCATCGGGATCCGTTGCTTGCCCGCAACAACCCTCAGCACTCCCTCCCCTGGCGTAGCAACAGACACGTCACCCACATCGGCCCCACGACCAGAAGTCGAAGGCTCACTACCTTTAGGCACGCTATGCGAAGTGCCACCAGCCTCAGTACGCACCCCTGCCCCCTCCACTATCTCACAACTCGAAGAGCTCCCAGATTCGGCACTCCCACTCTCTTCGGCAGAGCTTCCCGAGGACGAATCATCCTCGAATGCCCTCGGACTACGACTACGCTCGGATTCGATATCTGACATCTACAAACAACACACGAAGGGAAACTAAGTGCCATGCTAGAATCAAAGTCCTATTCTACCTCCTAAACACTTATGTTCATGCTTGTTCATGCTTTGTTCATACAAAAATTCATCGAATTCAACACTTTGATTCACGAAAAATCATAAACATAGCAACATACCTTGTTCACACGGTGGTTCCTAGTCGCCGGAAATCGCCTGCTCAGCCTTCGCACGGTTTCCGGAAATCGCCTCTCACAAGCTCTGATTGCTCTCAAAAACTTCAAGTATTCCAACTATCATCCCTTCCTTACATTTATAAGACGAACCTAGCATCGGGAAGCGAAGCGACGCATCGGGATATGAAACGACGCGACTCTTCACAGCCATGCTGACACGTATCACGCATGCATGGGGGAGCCCAAGCGTCCTCATTTGAAACGTTTCCAATCCTCAGAGACACTTCAACTTCCCAGATGGTGCAACTCTAGCCACTTTCGAGCACAACTCCACTGGCGAACGGTAGGCGCACATTGATGAGTTCTCACCCACCTCTCGTGCCGAACGGCAGGCGCACATTGATGAGTTCTCACTCACCTCTCGCGCCGGACGGTACCGAATGCCGTCTCTTTTCAAAGCTCACTCGCTCGGGCACTTGGGGGACTACATGCCACCATCAGCAACAACGAGACCATCGAGTCCAGATCAGAATGCCGGAGACAGATTCAAGTCCCCAACCGAGAAGTCGCTTCTCAATCGGTAACTTGGGGGACCACTGTTTGTACCATATCTGACCCTCCACTCATCCAGTGACACGTGGATCAGAGAAACTCCCCAAGTGCCCAAGGCTCCGAACAATCAGCATCGGCTACCGATGATATTGTCTCAAAACAGCAAACGGTCGCTACAGGCCCAGCATAGTCTACAATCGGTATCCCCTACCGATTCTGCAGAATCAACCTCGAAGCACCCGCCCGAAATATCTAAAGACTCGTGTCAACCTCATAGGGCCCTCCCACGAGTCCCACATCGAAATTAAGTACTAAGAGCATACAAAATGCCCTCTATAAATAAGCCCCTTCACTACAATACAGGGGTAAAACTTTTCAGCTTGACTTTTATACTAATATATTATCAACAGCAAGAGCTCTTAGAAAACAAACTTACTTTGGCGTCGGAGGGTCTTAGGCTGGTTCCACACCGGTTCTGTAGGCCTTACAAGTCTCGGCTTTCTTCTATTCAGGATCAGCATCCAAGGACAAGAAGGATCTGCATCCAACGCTCAATCGATCTCTCGATCGTCCACATCACCTGTAAGTTGCACTCATCTCTATCTGTTCAGTTTTAGTGCCAACAATAATTATTTAAAAATAAAAAAATAAAAAAAACTCGAAAGGTCCCTAGGAGCCATAGAGGTAGAAAGGAAATAAAGAAACAAGGGGCAAAGCAAAAAATTAAAAGAAAAACAAGGAGTGCCAATGCACTGGTGTTAAGGTTGTGAGTTTTAAAGGCGTAGTTAGGGGTTTGAAACCTCTTACCTTCACCACTTAAATATTTTAAGGGTATTCTATTATGTATTTATTAATTTGAAAATAAACATATAATTATCAGGCCAAATTCGGGGACGAGGATATCAATACCATCCCCTACTCATACCTAATGAGGGGATACCTGTACCCGATCCCCATTTTGCCCCGAAATCGGGGATTTATGCCATCCCTACACGAGCCCATATAATTAATGCATTTCTACCTTTAAATATCTATACATTAAACTTATGTTATTTGAAGTTCAAATTTGAAACATTAATGTCATGTTAATGATACTAAAAAGGATTTCAAAAATAATAATAACTCAAAATAATTACATCGTAAGTTGTGAATTAATCACTATAGTCCATTACACATTATGTTCCAACATTGTTGCCTTCAGTGGTAGCGGCGTCACCTTGTTTTTGTTCCTTCAGTAATAAATTCCATATTTGAGAGTACCACTTACATATCTAATGATTCTTTTAACAGCGAGTAAATGAGATTCTTTTGGACAAGACTAAAATCGTGCACAAACACCAACAGAAAATGATATATCAGGTCTACTAGCAGTTAAGTAGAGCAAACTCCCTATCATGCTCTTGTAAAGTGTCTGGTCAACGTATTTTCCAATTAGATCTTTATGAAGCTTGGTGGTGGTGCTCATGGGATTTGTGATTGGCTTTGCACTTTCCAATCCAAACTTTGAAACCAAGTCCTTCGCATACTTAGTTTGAGATAGAAACATCCCATCTTTTAATTGTTGTACCTGTAATCCAAGGAAGTACGTTAGTTCACCACTCATACTCATTTCAAATTCATTTTGCATGACGTCAGTAAATTCAGAAACTAAGGCATTTGAAGTTGAACCAAAAACAATATCATCCACATATATTTGTACAACCATTAGATCATGAGCAACCCTTTTGACAAACAAGGTTTTGTCAATTATATCCCTGGTGTAACCTTTCAGCAACAAATGAGAGGATAATCTCTCATACCAAGCTCGAGGAGCTTGTTTTAAGCCATACAAAGCCTTTTTAAGCCGATACACATGATCAGGATGAAAATGGTATCTTTAAATCCTGCAGGTTGTTCAACATACACCTCTTCCTTGAGCAAGCCATTTAGAAATGCACCTTTGACATCCATTTCATACAACTTGAACTTTAGATGACAAGCAATAGCCAGCAACAATCTAACGGATTCCAAGCGAGCAATTGGAGCAAATGTTAATTTCATCGAAATCAATGCCTTTAACTTGAGTATATCCTTGAGCAACTAGTCTTGCCTTATTTCTCACAACATTTCCCTTCTCATCTGTCTTGTTTTTGAAGATCCATTTTGTACCAATAACATTGGTGTTAGTTGGTCTCGGAACAAGATACCAAACATCATTTCTAGTGAATTGATTGAGCTCCTCTTGCATAGCTAAGATCCATTCATTGTCCACAATAGCCTCTGTTTGTACCATATCTGACCCTCCACTCATCCAGTGACACGTGGACTAGAGAAACTCCCCAAGTGCCCAAGGCTCCGAACAATCAGCATCGGCTACCGATGATATTGTCTCAAAGCAGCAAACGGTCGCTGCAGGCCCATCATAGTCTACAATCGGTATCCCCTACCGATTCTGCAGAATCAACCTCGAAGCACTCGCCCGAAATATCTAAGGACTCGTGTCAACCTCATAGGTCCCTCCCACAAGTCCCACATCAAAATTAAGTACCAAGAGCATACAAAATGCCCTCTATAAAGAGGCCCATTCACTACAATACAAGGGGAGGACTTTTCAGCTTGACTTTTATATTAATATCTTGTCAACAGCAAAAGCTCTTAGAAAACAATCTTACTTTGACATCGGAGGGTCTTAGGCTGGTTCCACACCGGTTCCACAGACCTTACGAGTCTCGGCTTCCTTCTATTCAGGATCAGCATCCAAGGACAGGAAGAATCCGCATCCGACGCTCAATCGATCTCTTGATCGTCCACGTCACTTGTAAGTTGCACTCATCTCTATCTAATCAGTTTTAGTGCTAACAGCCTCTTTGACATTTTTTGGTTCGAGATGAGATACATATCATAAATAGCTTATCTCTTCTATAAGTTGAGCCTTTTGACTTCGAGTCATTTTTTGAGCATTGGGATCACCAATGATATCTGTAACCTGATGATCTCGTTGAACCTGTTTGACTCCTGGACATTGAACTTGTGAACTTGTATTGCTGGTCTCAACAGTTGTGGCAATGTGGTCTTGAATGTCAATGTCACTGTGATCAGTTGTAGAAGCTTCCTTCACGTTAGATAAACTTTGTGGCACTGTAATATCAACACACACATCAAAAGGTTCATATGTCTTGCAATCATCAATAATAACATTTATCGATTCCATGACAATTTTGGTTTGATGATTGTAAACTCTATAAGCCCTAGAATTTAAGGAGTAACCAAGAAAAGTACCAGTATCACTACAGGCATCAAACTTTCCCACTAAATCTCTATCCTTATAGATGTAGCAAATACTAACAAAGATTAGAAGATGACTTACATTGGGTTTCTTACCTTTCCAGAGCTCATATGGTGTGGTGTTTGTACTTGGTCTAAGATACACTATATTTAAGGTATAACATGTTGTACCAATAGCTTCAGCCCAGAAATGCTTGGCTAGATTTATAGCATTTAGCATGACTCTTCCCATCTCAATCAGTACTCTATTCTTATGTTCAACAACATCATTTTGTTGTGGTGTTATTGGAGCAGAAAACTCATGAGCAATTCCATTAGTATTGCAAAAATCATGAAAAGATGTATTTTCAAATTCAGTCCCATGATCTGTTCTTAGATGAACTACTTTATCATTTTTCTCATTTTGAATCTTAGAACAAATTTTAGAAAATGAATCAAATGCATCATATTTTGTAGCAAGAAAGTCTACCCAAGCATACCTTGAAAAGTCATCAACTAAAACAAGAATGTATTTCTTACCACCAATGCTGTGAGTTGACATTGGACCTACCAAATCCATATGCATAAGCTCAAGAATTTTGGTGGTTCCAATGAACTTAGTTGCACTGTGAGCTGTCCTAGTTTGCTTCCCAATTTGACATCCTCCACACACTCCTTCAGGCTTTCCACTTGGTAGTCCACGAACGTAAGACTTCTTTGACAACTTGAGCAAATCTCGATAATTCACATGTCCTAATCTTTTGTGCCATAACTCCACTTGATCATCCACTGCCTTGAAACACAAATTTGAATTGTTAGTGCTAGTGCAATAACAATTCTCTTTTGATCTTGGTGCACATATAACTTGTTTGCCACTTAGATCACTAACTATGCAATTTTTGTTGTTGAATTTAACTTCTCCAAACTCATCACATAACTGACTAATACTCAAAAGATTAGTAGTTAGTCCATCAACAAGTATAACATCATTTAAGAGAGGTAAGCCAACAATCTTGATAGTACCTTTACCTAAAATGCAAGCTTTCTTACCGTCACCAAAGGTTATAGACCCACTTACCTTCATATCGACGAAAGATTCAAACCAATTTTTGTCACCTGTCATATGTCTAGAACAACCACTATCAAAGTACCATTTGTCTTTGAGACATGCACTCAGAGCTGTAAATGCAACCATACAAACAACATTAGTCTCATCTATGTTAGAAGTGATAGCTAAGGAACATAGTAAGTTGTCTTGAACTTTTTCTTTTCTTGATCCAGCTTGTTCCTTTTTCTTCCATATCCATTTCTGCTTCATTATTCCATATTGCATTGAAGCTATAGGGACTTTTTCGTTCCGGCAACTACTACGGGCCTAGGCTACTGTAAAGAGCCAAATGTGTGAAAATTGCCCCTGGGTCTGAGTTCAAGAATCAAACCCCAAGAATGCTTCGAAACGGTAGTTGAGCCATAGGAAGCACCTTGGTTACCTTCACCAGCAAAACTAACAGTCGCTTACAGGTAAATTCTTAGCTTGGCATGAGAAGCCTGTGGCATAGGAGCAAAGCAATCATGAGTTTAGCATTAAAGAGAGATAGGGCTGTGAATTCATATGAGAAACAGGGGTTCTAAGGAAAGGGGGAAGGGATTCTAAGAAGGTTTGTTGAAGAGAGAGAGAGATGGGGGGTATAATGGGTGTGTTGAGTAGTTTCCGGTAGCTTGACGAAAACTTTGTCAAGCTCTGGAACGATTTACCAGACGAGAAAATGGGAAGAGATGGAGGAATGGGGCTCGATATTGCAGAGGTTTCAGGGATGAGAGATAATGCTTGCTCTCTAGATGTGGGTTCAAGGATGAGAGATGATGCTTGCTCTCTTGATGTGGTTGTGATAATGGGTAGAGGATACCCCCCCTTTTATAGTCGCTGGAAGCTCCTCTTTTCCAAGAAACCCTATTGGTTTCTCTCCAATTTTGCTAAGTCTTCCCTTTCATTTCTCTTCTCTTCCTTCGATCCATCCTTGTTTTGTGAAATCCCCCTCTGCCCAATATACAAAGACCAGATTTTGGGGTTTGCAGAAATCTTCCCGCAGCCACTCTAGTGATAATCTCCTATCTTTGGCTATCACCTCTCATTCTTTCTTCCCTTATTTCATGGCAAGATCGGGTAAAGGAAGGAGATAGGTAATAGCGTTGGTCTGAACGATGCCTTTTCTCCTGCGCACACTAATATCCTCTGGTTTTTTGAGCGTTCTACCTTGAGGTTTGCTTTGCCCACGTGTTGGAGTCTCCCAGCGGTTAACATACTTGGGCAACTTTGGCTTTTGTTGTGGCTTTTGTCTCCAGCCATGTGCTAGAGATTACAGATATTTTATCTTGGCTATGTGGGCTTTCCTTAGGTGATGGTTTAGCCAATTAAGAGAATGGGCTAATCTCTTTAGGTGATGGGCTATTTTATCAAAATAATGAGCTAATTTTCCTAGAGTATTGGGCTAGTTTTTTTAGAGTATTGGGCTGATTTTTCTAGAGTATTGGGCTTTTTTCTCTCCTTTATGCTTACCCATATATTTGGGCTCAAGAGATGGGCTTGAGTTTTGGGGCTCCCAAGCAGCCCAAAACTTCCATTTCTCGGCTCATCAATGGGCCTCATGAAAGCTCGTTACCATCCACACCACAACCCACTCAGCAAGCCCCGGGCATTTGCGTGGCTTGGGCCCACTTAAGCTTGTAGCGTGGCTAGGTGTAAAATAACGACTTTCCGCTTGGCATGGCATGTTGATTGGTGTGCTTGAATTTTATCGCCTTTGGAATGGGATATGATGCTCGACAGGATAATTAGCATGGGCTCATAGAGCTAGTGCATTTAATAAGCTTCTCTCGATTCTTAGCATGACAGATTATTTATTTGGCATGACACGTGGATTGTGGCTCGTGAGAGCGTGTGTGATGAACTTTTGCGTGCTCCAAGTCGGATATTTTCTTAATAAGGTGTTGTACTGGGCCAGGAATTTATTCGGGCCCAACCTTGGATTTGTGGGCCTCAACAGAAGCTGACAATCTGCTAACTTCTTTTGCTAACTCTGAAATTTGATTTTGAAGATTTTCTGCAGTAAACTTGTTAAACTTTTTAACTCTATTTTGACATCTTGGCCTAATATGACTTGTTTCACCACAACCATGACACACTTGATTAAACCTTTTTGGCACAAAACTAGTCATAACATTATCATGTAAAAGAGTTGCATTCATATTTTTAGAGGCAATATCAGAAGCAACAATATTAGAGTTAATATTAGGTTTATCAAATTTAGTCACAGAATTAGTTGAAGAGGAGGGTTTGAAACCTATACCTGTTTTTTCACCATTTGGCTTACCCATTTCAATCATTCTGTCAAGTTTTTCAGCTCCTATGATTAATATGTGCAGTTTCTCCTCAGCTTCCTTGAGCTTTTCCTTCAACAAGTCTCTCTCAGCAAGTAAGTTGTTGACTTGGGGATCGAAGAGATGTTTCAGTCCTCTGCCACGCATCCTCCTTTTTTTGCACTTTGATATTGAGTCCATCATTTTGTTTCTTCACTTTGTCAAAGTTAAGATACAATTCCTTGTACCTTTCTCTGGTTTCTTCAATATCTACGTCCTCCTCATCTGAATCATCAGATTCATCATTGTTTTCAAGGGCAACAAAAGCAATCTCTTCCTCCTCAACCTCGGACATATCTGACTCACTGTCACTCCAAGAATTATAAGAGGCTTTCAGGGCTTTCTTCTCCTCTTTTTGTTTAGAGATAGTGTTTGCACGCTCTTTGGCTTCATGTCCATACCCTGAACATGCATAACACTTCCTACCTTCAGACTTGGGAATGAATCCTTGAGACCCATCTTTTGACGTCTTTTTTTATAGAAGATCTTGTACCTGCACCACTTCCTTTAGAATTTTGCTTCTTTAGTAGTTTTTGCAAATGACGAGTGATTAAGGCAAGTTGCTTCAGATCAATCTCATTACGATCATCATCTTCTTCTTTTATAACTTTC